CTGTGTGACTGGGATATGTAGATAACAATCAAAATTATATTAAAAGCAATTGGTGCTTTATTTTATAATTAATGCTTAATGCTTTGATATAAAATATGTTCTTCCAAATCCCTTTTTACAGATGATGATTCTGATATCGAGACGTCGAATGACTTGCCAAAATTTACAGACGGAATCAAGGCCAGAAACAGAAATCAGAACTACCTGGTTCCTAGTCCGGTACTTAGAATTCTAGACCACACTGCCTTTTCTACAGGTTGGAGAAACTAATTACTAGCATTGACATATTTTGTATAGATCAGTGAAAAACAGTGCATACAATAAATTTCTTTTTGCCAGTTGCATTTATCTAACAGGTCTTACTTAGAAATAATAATAGGCTTGTTTTATTCTTCAGAAAAATCTGCCAATATTGAAATTTGTGATGAAGAGTGTGACTCACCAGAGTCAGTCAACCAACAAACTCAAGAGGAGAGTCCTATAGAAGTTCACACTGCTGAAGATGTTCCAATTGCTGTAGAAGTGCATGCAATTTCCGAGGATTATGATATAGAGACAGAAAACAATTCCTCTGAGAGTCTTCAAGACCAAACTGATGAAGAGCCACCAGCTAAATTTTGTAAAATTCTTGACAAGAGCCAGGCTTTGAATGTGACTGCTCAGCAGAAATGGCCTTTACTGAGAGCTAATAGCAGTGGCCTCTATAAATGTGAACTTTGTGAGTTCAACAGCAAATATTTTTCTGATTTAAAGCAGCATATGATCCTGAAGCATAAACGTACTGATTCAAATGTGTGTCGAGTATGCAAGGAAAGTTTCTCTACCAACATGCTTCTGATAGAACATGCCAAACTACATGAAGAGGATCCCTATATTTGTAAATACTGTGATTATAAGACAGTAATTTTTGAGAACCTCAGCCAGCACATTGCAGACACCCATTTTAGTGATCACCTCTATTGGTGTGAGCAGTGTGATGTGCAGTTCTCTTCAAGCAGTGAACTCTACCTACATTTCCAGGAGCACAGCTGTGATGAGCAGTACTTGTGTCAGTTCTGTGAACATGAAACTAATGATCCAGAAGACTTGCATAGCCATGTGGTAAATGAGCACGCATGTAAATTAATAGAGTTAAGTGATAAGTATAACAATGGAGAACATGGACAATACAGCCTCTTAAGCAAAATTACCTTTGACAAATGTAAAAACTTCTTTGTATGTCAAGTATGTGGTTTTCGGAGTAGACTTCATACAAATGTTAATAGGCATGTGGCTATTGAACATACTAAAATTTTTCCTCATGTTTGTGATGACTGTGGGAAAGGCTTTTCCAGTATGCTAGAATATTGCAAGCATTTAAATTCACATTTATCCGAAGGGATTTATTTATGTCAGTATTGTGAATATTCAACAGGACAAATTGAAGATCTTAAAATTCATCTAGATTTCAAGCATTCAGCTGACTTACCTCATAAATGTAGTGACTGCTTGATGAGGTTTGGAAATGAAAGGGAATTAATAAGTCATCTTCCAGTCCATGAGACAACTTGATTATTGTCTTTATTTTAACTTACAGAATGTCAGTGTAAAATAATAAATTCAACTTTTTTTGGATTATGTTAAAATGGATGATTTTAAACAATTTATGAAATTTGCCTTTAATTAGTGTTTTTATATTGTCCAATTTTCTTGGCATTGCTCTGTTTTTCAGTATATAATTATATCTTAAATGTGATATTTTTAGTTGCATGGTAGTTCATGGTTTTAATCATCCTTGGTGACTATCATCCTGTTTCGTGTATGTGTTCTAATTTCATGAATTGAAAAACAGATGTACTGAAGAAAGGAGCTACAGTTCTCCTTCCTTAACCATAGGTGCCATTAACTTTTTCATTTTTAAACTCAAGACAAGCTTAGTTTTTCCTGTATGAAGTCACTAAATTATTGCACTACCAGAACTAAAATGCAACATAATATATAATTAAGTCCACTGATAATCCCATTAGTAAGAAACTAGACCCTTCTTTTGCATTTCCTGTCAGTAATTATCCTCTAGGTAATCGGTGGAATCTCTGATTTTTTTTTTTTTTTTGCATAATCCTTATGTATATCTCAAAACTCACACTCAACAGTGAGTTCTGGATTGCAAAAGAGGATTTATTTTTTTGGAGCTGTCTATAAGTCTTTGTCCACAAGTTAAAAAGAAACACAAATGCTGTGTAATTGTTTTAATAACACTAGGAGGCCAATATATAGGAAGAAAAGATTTGGTTTTCTTAGTCTGTTTCTTAAAAAAAATTTTCTAAGCCCCTGTCTATATGTTGAATAATTTAAGACGGGGGTAGGGAGGAACACATTTCATTTTCAGTTATAGAACCATAATGTCATGCCCAAACTTCTGATGTCGGATTGCTTATTGACTGAGAAAACCCACTGAAGTGTTAATATAGAGGTTAGGAAGCTCCGGGAGATTAGGGGTTACTGGCAGGGAAATATACAAATTATTTCTGATAATAACAAATTGGTCTTAGCATCTATATTAGTTTCCTGTGGCTGCCATGACAAATTACTACAAACTGGGTCACCTGTCTAGTGGAAATTTATTGTGTGTCAGTTCTGGAGGCCAGAAGTTAGAAATTGAGTTATTGATGGAGTTGGTTCCTTTTGAGAGCTGTGAGGGAAGGATTTGTTCCAGGCCTCTCCTTGGATTGTAAACGGCTATCTTCATGTTCACTTGGTGTCCTCCCTGTATGCAAATCTGTCTCCCAATTTCTTCTTTTTATAAGGACACCAGTCATACTGGATTAGGGCCCATCCTAATGACTTCATTTTAACCTGATGAAGACCCTTTCTCCAAATAAGGTCACATTCTGAGGTACTGACTTGAACATACGAATTTAGGGGGACACAATTCAACAGCATGTAAAACAGCGCTATCGGCCGGGCGCGGTGGCTCACGCCTGTAATCCTAGCTCTCTGGGAGGCCGAGGCGGGCAGATTGTTTGAGCTCAGGAGTTCGAGACCAGCATGAGCAAGAGTGAGACCCCGTCTCTACTAAAAATTAAAAGAAAAATAAAAGAAATTGGAATCACTAAATGTAATTTCTGAGTTTTTCCAGGGACAGGGACGGGGGATGGGGGGAACACGGAGCTCAGGCCGTGATTCAAGCCACAGGGGATGGGGAGTGGCTGGAAATACAGAT